CCCACAGAATTAGTGGCAGTGGCTGACAGAGGCACTGTGGTGTGCATGTGCACGTCAAATGAGGCACAACAGCTCTTTCTTAAATTAATTAACATAATGTGTGAATTTTCCGTTTTATCTTACAGTAGGGTGCCGAACAAGCATACAATACACGCATATAACATGCAACATCGAGTTTTCCCTTTTACACAGGCTCAGTGGCTATAAAAACTGCTACATTTAATTGGTAGAAACTAATTTCGTCCTTAGGAACAAAAGTAGCTGATTCGTCACTAATTAAGGCTTCCATATATGAAGAACCACAAGATGACACTGCCTGAGCATGTCTGTTAAAACAAACTAGAACACTATTAGCAGGCTAGCAGGTTAATTCACAAGTTCTAGAGCACAGCACAGCTCTTTTCTAATTGCGCTATTTTTCTGTCCTGCAATGACATTCAATGACCAATATCTGAGAGCATATTTTACTATATACTTCACCTAAAGGCAATTTGCACCACGTACAAAAGCAGCTTCTTTTCTTGGATTACTGCTCATGGGAAAACGAAGTTCACGAGCAAGTTGGGCCCAACTTGCAACTAGCCAAAGATGGTGATAGGCTACAGTATATTTAAAATCCTGTAAACCTGTTGATGAAGGTTCTTATAATGGCATAAAACAAACAAAATGACATTTTATGTAGTATTTTAAATGTTTTAAATGTATGAAACACAACCTCTCAAAGTATTTTGTTACAAATTACATTTGTTTTTTTTTTTCCGTCCGGCAAAATGCAAATTACAAATTACTCAAAAGTAAATACACATTTCAAATGCATTTAACTGAAAGACTGCCCATCTCTGTCCGTAGCTCACTGTGGCCACACAGTCGAGAGAGGAGTGTTAAACTCTCACTGTACGTGTGTCTCCCCTCACCGCCGCTGTGCTAAGCTCCCAGCCCGCTGACCGTACCCCTTCTCCTTCATCTGCCTCCCTGATCGATCAGTTGTTTCCAGCTGCAGGAATGGAGTTATCTGTATTTCTTTGGGGTGGTAGGGCTGCTCTCCATACAGTCATGGCTCTGCTGCGTGTGAAAACCTCATCGGGGGCGATGCTTTCTGAAATGCTCGCTGCCATTCCCCGTTCAAAGCTGCTTAAATCTGTCACCGTTCTCCCTCTGAACTGCACACGTACCGAGTCCCTCGCCGTTTCTCTACCTCTGAGCACCGACTTCTGAAATGAGTCAGTATTCCAGAGAAAGGGCAGCAGGACCACTATATTCAGGGCACTGAGAATGCACGTATGCAACTTTAGTTCTCCTTCACAGCTCAGTCATGAAAGGCTCTAATAAAGTATTGCTCTCTAGTCGTTTCATAAATACATTAATTTTGGTTAACGAGCTCCCTGTGGTAAAATTATGGGACTTAAAAATAACACGATTAGACGTATACTTGTGGTCCATTGACCTTGTGGATGTTCTGAGTGTGATCCAAACTGTAGCACTCTTACCCATGATGCAAAATGATTATTCACACCTGGTAGCTCATTTCAGGAAGAGAAATTCTCCAACTGAGTCAGGCTTCCTCAGTCACCTTGCGGTATTTCAGAACATGGCAGCAGGATGCATAAAAGCCACCGGGGAGCAAAAATAGGGGCAGGATAGGTAGTTATCCTTAGTACCATCTCCTGCCTGTTCACATTTCTCATCAATAACCGCTGATGACACCAAACAGTCCCCACACTAAGAACCCCAATTGTGTCCCACATGCCAGCAGGACCCCAGAACCTGGGCCTAGAATGCTGCATTTCTGAAAGCTTGCCAGCTGCGCATAGAATGTCTCGACCAAAATGGGTTTCTCCAGTGTGAAAGCCAATCACAAAGCATGACGTAATGCCCGTGGCCTGTTTGTGGAAATGTGGGAAGGTACCATATTACTGTGAACAATATCCAGGCAGAGAATGAGCGCCTGATTGCAGGTCAATAGAGAATAGAACTGTCCCTGCTGAAATAAGCCCACAAATAAGCACAGAGACGGATGACAAACCTTTCTTAACAAGCATAAACATTTCGGAATAAAGGCATATTATAAAACCAATGAAGTATCTGCAGCTCAGGTAGTCGACAGAATGAGGGGAGAAATTAAATCAGGAAACAGGCTAGTGGTACACATACCCCTGTAAAAAATAGCTTGAAAGTTGGTAGCTTATGTTAATTTATTCATGCTTGTTTGTTTTTCACTTTATTACATTATTAAACTCTGTACTTTATTACTGTGACAAGGCACATTGAGACTGACAGGTAAAATATGTGAAATTAGTTTAATGAAAAATTTAATGAGAGAATTCCCATCAGAACCTCCAAACAGAGGGAGGAAAATAATGAATAAATATATATTTGTGGTGCATATGGAGTACGGCAACTCATTAAGGTCGAATCTCATGAGCGCAGCATTACACGGGTTCTGCAGCACGTGGGGGTGGGAGGTGTTAAGCCGGTCACCTTAACGCGAGCGTGGCCAATGATTCTACCGGCACTAAACGGGACGAGAAGTGTGTGGAAGAGGAGCAGCAGGAAGAGCAGGAGCAGCAGGAGGAGCAGGAGGAAGAGGAGTAGGAGGAGCAGGAGGAGGAGCAGGAGGAAGAGGAGTAGGAGGAGCAGGAGGAGGAGCAGGAGGAAGAGGAGTAGGAGGAGCATGAGGAGGAGTAGGAGGAGGAGGCCTCAGGCACGGGAATGCAAATGAGAGGCCCCGGAAACCGGCCACGCTCGGGCAATTATAACAGACAAGAAGAGAGGTGCTTTAATGGATCGACCCATATGCTAATGCTGCCATCGCGCCTGGAGTTGTTTGCATAATTACAGTCAGTAAATCAACAGCTCAGATGTGCATCGCTGCTGAGTGAGCTGCAGTTAGCAGGCAGTGACACCAGCCCTTAGTGCATCGATCCCACCATCATCAAAAACCAATAATAATAATAATAATAATAATAATAATAATAATAGTGATATGCATAATATTTACAATGGATTTATGTATTTATTTATTTATTATTATTATTATTGTTGTTGTTATATTATTATTACTATTATTATTGTTACTACTATTGTTATTATTATTATTATTTTTAAAAGGGGCAGTGTATGGCTCAGTGGGACAAACCACTGTGCCTATGATCAGAAAGCTACCAGTTCAAGCCCAGCCTTGGCAAATGAAGCGAAAGTGATTAGTTGTCATTGTTGACACACCACAGCATGCAGTGCACAACAACAAAATGTTCCCTCCACATTTAACCCATATGTGATATTGGGACATAGCAGGAGGCAGCTGGAGCAGTGCTTGGGGATGGTACCTTACTCAGGGTACCTCAGTGGTACTTTGATGGTTGGGGATTCGAACCTTTCGATTACAAGTGTGCTCCCCTAAACATTAGGCCTTGAGCAAGGCCCTTAACCCCCAGCTCCATGGGCGCCACAACAGCCAGCTTACTCTCACCTACAGAGAGAAGGTTGAGGGAGGAATAAAGAGAATTTCCCCACGGGGATCAATAAAGTATCAATCATTAAATAATAATGCAAGAAGGATGCCAAATGTCCACCTGATCTAGGCTGAGAAGCACATAACCCCGACTCCATGATATGATACAGCTGTCCTGCCGGCTCATGACTGGCCTAAGACCCAACTCCAACCAAACACAATTCTGCATTAAAGTCCCATTTTCCGGTAATGCCTGTTTGCCTCTCTCCCGCAGCTACCATAATACTCCCTTTGGGTGTATTACCTCTGTACCTTCTGGGATTTTAAATACTCCTATCAGTTCACAGATTGCTATCAATGTGAAAGTTCTGGCCTGCAGCCACCCGGTGAATGCCAACCCGATCAGATCCAGGATCGTTTTAGGTGGTCTACTTAGGAGCAGAGCGGCTCTGAAGGGCTAAGTGTCCTTCTTTAGCGGAGGTGATTCGAGCTGAGACAGCTCTCCAGATGAGCTTGTAGCGATGACCTTGGCTTTACTTACCTTATTTGGACTCCTTTGTGTGAGCCTGTATCAAATCCATTCTATATAGTACGCTAGTTCCTAACTGATAACCCCCATTATTTTTGGTATACCAACACTGACAGTCCTATATTAGACTCGGCATTTGTAGACAGATGAGTAATAACCCCCCCCCCAAAAAAAAAAATCCTTCCTTCTTCAGCTAATGACACTAGTAATGACAGGGTAATGTATTGACCATGTGGTTTACGGATATGGTACTTATCAGACCAAACAATCACCTGAACCTCGTCCTCCAAGAAGGAGGAAAGTAGTTTTGGCTGATATCTAACCCACCCTCCAGCAGGGGGCCCATGAAATCAATTGGTGTCAAAGAAGGGCAGCTGCTTTCTCTGTGTCCATAAGTGCGCACACCTGAACACACCAAAATCAGTAATAATCCTGATCCTAACTGCCCACACCTATCTACACGCAATTAAAAAAATCAGTTTACTGCTGAGTTAAACACATTTATTCTGCCTGCGAGCTGCGACTTTAGAATCTCTCCAAAGATCAATACAGTGATGTATTTATAAGGCGATAGAGAGACAGACTTCACTGTGACTGTGCTCACGCTTTATGGCAGTGCAGTAGCGCTTTTTGTGGTTTCTTTCTTCGAGAATCTTTTCTTTTCATGATGAAATGCGAACTGTACAAAGAATGCAGCCCCACCCCCACAAATGGGGCTAAAATATTTTATCATCTTTCCACAGAGGAAATAATTATCTTGCCAAATGTTTTGACTGTTTCTTTATATAAAAAGAGAGCTGGAGTTGCATAGCTAATTAGATTCCAAATGAAGGCATAAGACCACAAACAAGAAACATTCCAGCATAATTCACCCCTTTGTTCATTTTACTGTGGTCATTTCGGAGCTGACAAATTGGGAACTTCACTCACCGCTTAGTACTAACTAACCAACCACCCTGAATGTTCAGCGACTGTCCGGTTTCCACACGGCACAAATAAGCGGAGCCAAAAGACACTCACCACTCATCCACGTGGCCTCCGGGTCGTGCGGGACGAAGTGGGGCTTGAAAAGGTCGTCCACGGTCAGCTTGGTGTCGCTGCCCCCAGACGAGTCGGCTGCAAGGAGAGGAACGTCACGCTAAGTCACCGCCGACTGCCCAGGCGAGGTGACGACAGCAACTCTCAAACACAATGATGCGCGAGCAGAAATACTTCACTGACTGGCCGCCTGATAATGGAGACTCTGCTCCTGGCTCAAGTCCCCACAGAACCCTAGAGACAAGCACTTAACGGAAATTGTTTGATAAAATTGTTTTGCTTTTGGTTCTCTTGGCAAGCGACGCTAATACTTATATACTTTATAGCAATTGTCAGGACTATGGGTTTGTAGTTTATTTTCTGTTTTATTTATTGCTGTTGTTTCCAAGCACAAATCCCCTACAACTCTTGATAATGCTGAAGGCTGCTGAGGTGACGGGTAAATTTATTAGGACACGCTGTCTGGGCGCCTCCCGGCCTTATCCACAAAGCCTGCAGCGTGTGGCGACACGGGCGGGGAAACAGGACGCCCCTGAAAGCAGCCGTCCTGCCAAAGGGGCGCAGACCAGTGCAGAGTGGCCAACGTAGCCCGACTGACTCAGAGACGCATTCAGGCTGTTCTTCATTTACGATTAAATGGAGCCGGGATGAAAGGTCCGCGGGGAGAGCTGGATTCAGACGAACGCAATGATCTCTGCAAACTGCCGCCGTCGTTAAAGGACGCCAGAGAGCAGCACGCAGAGTCTGGAGGAGCAGGATGCTCGCCGATCGAAGTCGCAAAATCTTATATAATAAATCGCCGTGCCACAGCGTGAGATTAACTCCACGGCTAAACTATGGATTTTCCACATTCATTCAATAGGGAAAGCAAATAAAAAACAGAAACAGCCCATAATAATGCAAAGCAGATAAATCTCTGATTCTATATTTCAGATTCACGCAGTTTGTCATATTTGGTTAGTTTTTATATGGACGCCTAGGTTTAGCACCAGGGAAATTTTCCACTGGCTGAAGGAGAGGACACACGTGCATCTGAGATATTAATATATATTATAAGCTTTACTCCATTGTCAAGGAAAAATAAAAAATGCTAAGATGCGCAGTTGTTACGGTGTGCTGGTGTCGGCCCTCTGACAGACTGTCACGTTCCTACTTGCATTTCTGGTGGGACACTGTGGGCCACTGGCTATCTGTCACTCCCTCTCCACCAGATCTAGCCGCCAGTTCCTCTGTAACGACCCCACTGGTTTATCTCCTTTCACATACATCAGTGCCCCATGTCTATGCGACCATGTGCCTGCCTTTGTTTACGTCACGCTTATGCTCTCTGCTAGGCTCGCCGTGTCACGTTTCTGCCACCCGCACGCCGAGGGACAGGCCTCCAGATGTCAGCCCTTTCAATCCGTGACGTCAAGCGTCTTTGTGGAGGAAGGCTGATGGTGCCACTCAACGTGACCTGGAAACGGTCCTGGTTTCACTCTCTGAACAGCAATAAAACAGCTTCTGAAGCAGACCTTGTCGTCTGGAGTGAGACACCCAGCGGGACACTACAGGTCTGGAGGCTACAGACAAACCACTCCTGTGACACATTATATACCGTCATTGTTTTTGTTTGTATTTCATCATGCAAATGTATGTATGTATTTATTTATTTTACATTTTAGCCTGTTTTTTATTTTATTGGTTTATAACTTCTGTCAAAGGAAAGGGCCATATGCCAGCAAAATGTAAGACTGTGTTTTTCCATGTTTGACAGAATGAATCGTCACCTTTCGGTGAGTCTGAAGGGAGCACATGAACTGAGCAGCATTTTTTGACATTTCTTGCTAAAAAGGCACTTTCCTTCATTCCTTTTTCCTTCCTTGCACGGCTGTTATACCCACGCATTACAGGTGTAAATCTCCTGAGGCAATTCAGGCCAAAATCCCCTCCCACGGGTACAACAGGAGATTCCCATATGAGAGCCCAGGTCCAGGTTGGTGACACTTTACTTAAAGCAGTCGTGTATAATGCATTATAGACATCTTCCTAATGCATAAATTATTATAGAGAGGGCTATAACTGTTTATAAAAAGTCATAACACATTATAGCCATGTTTATGCATTATGAATGCTCTATGAAGCTCTCATCTACTGTATAATGTGCTATAGATACCTTAATGCAGTACAACGTATCCTTAATTCTAATTACCATTATAATGCATTATGAAGGTATTTATAAGTGTTACTGCCATGCAACTTGCATTTTAACAGTTTGTAATACGGCAGGACTGACCTCCTACGGATTGGGGTGAGAACAGGAAGCCCTCCTCAACACGAACCCTTACTTTTTATAAGTGTCATGTTGGTTACCTCACCACTTTGTAATTAAAATGCTGAAATGCAGGAGTCTTTCCCTCAAATACCAGGATTGGTCCCTCCGATTTAGAATCACCAATCAGTTTTTAGGGTTAGGAAGGAAAATGTGAAACTGGACTGAACTGGACCAGAGGAAGCCACAGACTAGGGAAGAACATCCAAACTTGGCATAAAAGAGTCTGGGACCAATTTTGGACCCATAACCTTCATGACGATATAAGAGCACAATCTTACAACCCATAAAATGAATATTTCATAACTTGTAGATTAACTGGTGGACGGATGCAGTGACCTGCAGTGTACCTGGGGTGAGCAAGATGACGGACATGGTGATCAGGGAGCAGACCACCAGGATGACCAGCAGAGCAATGGCGATGCCCTTCCAGTTCCTCTGGGGGGGGCTTCCGGTGCTCAGGTCCTGTGGGCAAACGGATAACCATGAGTGAACACCGGGGTTTTCTTCACCTGCAAGCTCCACCGCGTGTGTACAGAACTGAGAAAAGCCTGATGAGCGGAGAACCTTTGGCAAAATGAGCACCCATCCTTAGCAGGAAGCCTGGGACCCCCATTGCACAGTCGCTAGTTTGCAGAACCATCACTGTGCAGCACATTTCTAATATATGCTCACTGTTTTCTGCCAGCAGATTTGCATGAAGTAAGCTTCCTTCTCACTCAGCCCAGGGAACGGTTTGGGCATTTGACTGACTTGCCTGCAGATGCTGGATAGATGAATATGTTTCTTGAGGGCCCGAAAGGATACGAACAGACCTGAGTAGTCGGGATGCGGGCCAGACTCTCGTACCCTCATCCTGGGCACGGCCTATCGATCACTTTCAGGCAGCCGAACACAAGGGAGTTCATGGGCATGGCTGCGTAGCAAATGAGCGTTTGTGTTTCCTTCAGCACACAGGAAGATTCCACAGCAACACGGATATATTCACAGAAGCGGCGCATAAACTTCGAAGGCCTTCCCTAACATTCCCCAGCATGAGCAGCACAGCAAAACAGCCGCTCACTATTGCTCTACCTGATGAACTGAGCATTTATTCAAAAGCAGATCTGCAGCCAGTAGGAAGCCCAGTTCTGCTTGTTAGGATTTCCTTAATGAGAGGGTATCAAAGTTCTCACCGTCAGTCCTTCAACACCGTGGAATTTTCTGGGCCTAATTTACTTGGATGTTGCTTGGGAACATCTAAAACTCACAGAGAATTGCAGGGCGATAGAAGAGTTCATCAAGCGAAAGTGTGATGATGAAAGTAGGCTGCCCAAACACAGGGCAATCCTGATGACCCATGAATCATTGTCATGAGACCAACACGCCTCCTCTGGGCACATGCAGCATTGTCTTAGGCAGTCAAAGAAAATGTGTAAGGCTCGACATTTGGGTAGCAAGCATATATTTGCATGAAAAACAAAAACACAAGTTAGCATTATAACATACAGAAATATAGTAATTCAATAAAAAATTAACAAAAATTTCTCCAAACAGTTATTGATATATTGTCTGATGAACACCCTAACAGTTCCCAAACCTTTTCTTAGGGGTACTTGCCATGCCAAGTATTTATTAAATTTCACCACCAGCTCAGCTAATTAATTAACTTAATTAGTTAAATAATTCAGCGAGGTATTGATTAGCCAAACAAGGTGAGGTAGTGCTCGAGTAAAAAAATAAATAAAAAGAAATGTGTGTGCTGCTGCAAACACTGGGGAGACTTTAGGACAGGGGTCTCCAACTCCGGTCCTGGAGAGCTACTATCAGGTCAGTTTCCAATCCTACCTGGCTTCTGATGAGCCACACCTGTTCTCAGGTAAATACCAGGAGCAGGTGTGGCTCATCAGAAGCCAAGCGGGACAGAAAACCTCCTGGATAGTAGCTCTCCAGGACCGGAGTCGGAGACCCCTGCTTTACGAGGTTTTGAAATGGCCCAGCTGACATATTTTGACAGACAAAATTTCATAGTTTTACACAAACATCAAGATAATCTAAAGTTTTCTTTGACTGCACAATACAGCAGCTTCTTAGAAATAACTGCTGTCCTGCGTTACCTGGGATAGGCTCTTACTAGAAAAAGTGGTTAGAGTATGGATGGATGGATGGATTGATGCCAAGAACCATTCAGCACAAGAGGTTATCCACATTGCACCAGGGAATTCTGGGAAGAGAGGTCTTTTGAAGTGCATACACACTAGACTTCATAAAAACAAGACCATAACATGTAGACTGGAAACATGAATGAACTTCATGTTCCTTGCAGCTAACATCCACCATCCCCCAGAGACCTCTCTCTCAACAGGTGTGAGGACTCAACCCAAGTTACCAGGTAGCATAGCTGAATAGTCAGCTGGACAGAGAACGTCTCAAAGCTTTTTATCGCCCGAGTCGACCCCCATACTGTCGTTCACTGTCCTTCCTGTTTTGGATGCTGGAAACAGGGAAGGTTGCAAAGACCTCAAGAGGAAAACAAGCTGTCATCATAACTATGACAACACAAGCCAGACCTCTCTTTGACTGTTCTGTGGTCAATAAACAAAATTATCTAATAAATAGATGGAGTATATTTAACATACCAGCACATAACTCTTTTTTTTTTTTTTTTAAGTGAAGATGATGTACAGCCTTGTGGCTTCATATATGGCCAGGGGGCAGTTTATTCATGAACAACAAGTCAAAACAAGATGCAAAACGATACATTTAAAAAGTGATACTATTAATTCAACCTAGACCCAAGTCTACTTGACGGACAAGAAGAGAAATACAAAGATCAGCCAGGCATCCGGCGGAGGACTGAATCTGAGCGCAGTGTACGAGGAGCGGCTGCGATTTTCTTCCAGCAGAATGGGTAAATGAAACAACTGTCGAAATGTGCATTTTCACGGGAACAGGTCGGAGGAGGAAAGCACAGGGGCTTTTTTATCAGTCTCACGGGACTGCAGGAATGCGGGGATAAAGACGGCGGCAGCTAGAGCCTAATGAAGACAAAGGGACACGGGGGCGTGTGGTGATACAGCTGATCAGCCAATGGGAGAGGGTGCTGGTGGTGACGGGGGGGGGGGTTCCTCCCATCATCACCAACTGTGGCTAACAGGTCACTGGCCCCTGATTACATTCCCATCCTCAGAGGGTGGGGCGGCCCCACTCAGTCGAGCATGCCTCCCCCCTTCCCACCCCCCCTTATGCCCCACTACCACAGGCATGGCTGCAATCCAGATGGCAAGGCGGCATGCAGCTGTGGCCAGATGTGTCTGTACACAGCTCATAGGTGTCCTCCTCAGTAGGCCTGCAGTTGTTCTTGGCATCTTCATGTAATTATTCTCCTCGATCTGCATATATATTATCAACTACAATAGCAGCATGTGTCACGTACATTAGGCACATTGTGCAATGTTTAGGAAATGCATTATAGCGGCGAGGCTTCGGCTCACAAATATACAAGCTTACATCATAACATAATACAGGCAGTCCCCAGATTATGAACGGCATCCATAACTTTAAGTCCATCTTAAAGTTAAATAATAATACAGCACATAGCAATCATAATAATAACAATCCATCCATCCATTGTCCAGCCTGCTTATCCTACTGGGTCGTGGGGGGTCCAGAGCCTATCCCCGAAGCAATGGGCACGAGGCAGGGAACAACCCTGGATGGGGGGGGGCAGCCCATCGCAGGGCACACTCGCAAACCATTCACTCACACATGCACACCTATGGGCAATTTAGCAATGCCAATTAGCCTCAGCATGTCTTTGGACTGCGGGGGGAAACCAGAGTACCCAGAGGAAACCCCACGATGACACGGGGAGAACATGCAAACTCCACACACATGTGACCCAGGCAGAGACTCGAACCCAGGTCCCAGAGGTGCGAGGCAACAGCGCTAACCACTGCACCACCATGCCGCCCCAATAACAATAATAATAATAACAATAATCATCAATGTTGAGCATTTTAAGGCCCAGAAGCTACAAATCCTGACCAAGATTTTGTTTCTACCAATCAGCTGAGCATAAGCTTGTTGTTCATGTCGGTTGGAACAAAATCCTGGTCTGGATTTGTAGCTTCTGGACCTGAAATACCTAACACTGATGACGATGATGATAATAATAATACAGAAGTAATAAATGTAACTATATATGGTACTGTACCATACCTTGGGCCGACGAACCACTGAAGCCAGACGTTTTAACCTGGGGACTGCTTGCCCACATTATTCATCCCCACGGGGAAATTCCCTTGTTGCCTGTCCCATGGGCGATACAGATGAGAGCAGGCTTGGGGTCACAGCCCAGGGTCAGCCAGCATCAGAGCGATTGGGGGTTAATGGCCTTACTCTGGGGCCTAACGTCAACATTGCTCTGCCGGCCCTGGGATTTGAACCGGCGACCTTCCGACCCACTGAGCCACACACCACTTACAATCATGTATTAAAATAATGGACCATACACCGATGGATTTTATACTGATAGATGCCATTTCAAGCACCGACCCTAGTTTAAATTTTTGATTTAAAGCACATAAAACACGTTCTGTGTTTTTCAGACCAAATTTTGCAGACGTCAGCGTGACGGCTACTCCCAGCTCTCCCATTATCTCCTCTCTGCCGACAGCCGACAAGGGAGAGGCAGGAACGGTGACAGGGTCTCCGACTGGGATGCCGTTCCTCCCCGGATCACGAATCCAAGCCATTGTAAACAAGGGTAATGAGTGAATCTGGGGATGTCTCCCGACTCCTTAGTGAGCGCATGCTTTTATTCTTTTCTCACAGACGGCTGGAATCACAAGGCTGAGAAGCTAAATGCTCCCGAATGGCTGAAAGCTGCCGTCTGCTGTTAAATCGTCCAGAGTTGGGAAGTTTTTGGCACCATTGCTGTGATTTATTTTCATTATGGATCGACGGATAGAATGACTGGTTTAAGGCAGTGTTTCCCAATCCGGTCCTCGGGGGACCCAAAGTCGGTCCACGTTTTTGCTCCCTCTAAGCTCCTTGTCAGACAGTCCCCATTTTCGCTCCCGGGAGCTGGGAGGGAGCAAAAACGTGACGTGTCTGTGGGTCCCCGAGGAGCAGATTGGGGAACACTGGCTTAAGAAATAAAACAAGATAAGGCTCAGGGTCTCAGCCTCCACGACGTCTGTGTAAATTAACAGCAAAAGGTGCTTGAACCTAAAGGCTGACAAGATCAAAAATGCTTTAAGATGTTTATTTATAAAGGTCCTGGGGCCTCATGTATAACAACGTGCGTAGAATTCACACTAAAACATGGCGTACGGACAAAACTAGGAATCTGCGTAAGCAAAAAAAAAAAATCCAGATGCATGAAACTGTGCGTAAGCACAGATCTACGCACATTTCCTTTAAAAATCCGAATGAGCGTGAAATTTTACGTACGTGAACGAGCCCACAGCCACCCCCCCGAC